TCAATTCCGTTAACTTGACATGGCTTCAAACAATAATAATAATAATAATAATAATAATAATAATAATAATAATAATAATAATAATAATAAAAGAAAAAAAAATGAAAGAGAAAAATACTTTTTTTTAGTAGAAATCATTAATTATGATTATGAAATTTAGACTACAGAGGATATGTCTATAATAAACTATTAGGATGGAGTGTCCATAAAACAAGGCAAAATCTCATAGACTCGTACACTGAAATTGAGCCCAATAAGTTAACAAGGTAGGTCACAAGTGTCAACGGTTAGTTAAGTTAAGGAATTGTAAAAACCCTAAGTTAGAAACAAAAGTTCAAATTCCTGCAATGATTGATCCAGATTAAGTAATTGAATACAGTTCGAGGAGATCTTGAACTTAAGCTGTGAAGTTTGAAGAATTGATATTAATTTCGGAATCGAAGACTTTAAAGATGATCAAATCTTGGATATATAAATATATGATCTAGATGTTCATGTTGATTTGAACCTGCCGATAATTCCGACTCCTGATTCCCGAACCACTATAAGTAAGTTACTTCCATCTTCATAAACTGAAAATTGTTCCCGGTAAATTGCACATGTGATTGTTGCTGATATGATAACATTTTGAACTGTGAATTTGTATTGCTTTCTTCCGAAATTGCTTCTTTGTTGCTCTGGAATTTGTGAAATAAAGTTGTCTTACTTCAAAGTTCAAACCTTTGAGTTGATTGTCTTTAGTTAGATTGCTCCGATCACTTTTCTTAGAATTTCATAATACAGGATAATTTACGGATAAAATCTGCTTGAAATGTCTATTCAAACATTGGTTCTGATATTGTATATTAGGGTTTTACCTTATGGAGAGGTGGCAGCCTCGCCATGGAAGGAGGGGGAGAGGAAGAGGAAGCTATTCATCTTCATCTTTTTCCCAATCAAACGACTCTGGACCTTCAAAGACTTCAAATCATGTTAGAAAAACAACAACAAATCTTAGCAATTCTGTGATCAACAACAAACAAGACCATAATGATGCTGAAATCCTCCCAAACTTAATTGGAACTTGCCCTTTCATGTGCCCAATTGAAGAAAGGACACAACGTGAGAGACTAAGAGATTTAGCCATATTTGAAAGATTAAACGGAAACCCATCTAAGTCATCTTCTACACTTGCTGTTAAAAAGTTCTGCAGAACAATCTCCTCAAAAGATCTTCGTGATATGGATTTACGCCCCCTTCAAGTATTAGAAGACACCTTAAATTACCTTCTAACCATTTTTGAATCCAAAGAACACCCTTTTGAAGCTGTTCATGACTTCATATTCGATAGAACAAGATCCATTAGACAAGACCTGAGTATGCAAAATATCATAACAGGAGATCAAGCTGTCAGCATGTATGAAAGAATTGTAAAGTTTCATATCATCTCTCATTACAAGCTTCGAATAAATGCTACTGCAAATTCAAACGTCTCCCCAATGCATCACCTCAACATGGAACAACTCACAAAGACTTTGGCATCTTTATATCACATATATGACACAAATCATAAATCTGGTAACACTTATGAAACTGAAGGTGAATTTTATTCATTTTATGTGCTTCTGCATCTTGGTTCTGATCATCAACCAACAGGAGAGTCATTATCTTTATGGTTCAGAAGTCTTCCTTATTCCATTATTAATTCAAAGGAAATGATGTTTTCACGAAGGCTTTTGAGGTATTTTCGTTTTGGAAACTATAAATGTTTTCTTCATGCTATAGAAACCGAAGCATCATGTTTGCAGTATTATGTTATTGAGCCTTACATCAGTGAGATTCGTGCACTTGGATTAGCCTGTTTGAATCATGGAGGTTACAAGCTAAATCCTTATCCACTTGTGGACATATGTAAGATCTTGCTATTGGAGGAATCTGATGCTGAATCTTTTTGTAAAGATTGTGGTTTGGATACTTTTAGTAGTGATGAAGGACTTAAGTTCATGCCTACAAAGCAAACAGGTTTTTGCTATCCAAAAGGGTCTCAGAGATATTATCAGTTGGTGTCAACACGATTAAAGAAGTTTTATAATGAAGTGCCTTAAAGAATTGGGGATTTGGGGAAATATTGGACAACTGATGGAAGGAAATTGATTGTGGTGAAAGTTAATCATGTCAAGCTTGAATTTGAATAAAAGTTTATGGAAACACGGAAGATGTTTTGTGTATGTTAGGGAAAATTGTAGTTTATCATGATTCATGACTTCTTTAGCTTTAATATAAGCTATATTTAGGACAACTTTCATTCCTTGTAATTGTGAACCCTAAACTATATATATTTAATTTGATGTAAATTACATCGATGATGAAGTCCTGGCTTGTTTAATGATAAAATGTTAGAAATTGTAAAAGTTTTTTCAGGGGCAAAATAGTCATTTTATATCGCACATGGACCAAAACCGCAACAAAACCCTGCCAAAAGATTAACCGGTTTTGCAGTTTAGTGTTATAGCATGTTAACTGCATAAGATTTAAAAAAGAAATAGATTAAAAATGATAATCAGGGATGGATGCCAACCTTGATAATCATTCTATAATCTTTAAATACTTTGTTTAATCTTGATAAGGACACTTTAATTGACATTATAGGGCTTTATATATAGCGACAATTGGCATTATATCCACTACATTTTTGTTTTTCCTGCTACACATAAGGACGGCCATGTTTAATTTCGGCACTAAGGATGACAAGGATACACCGACTAACCACATGCAAATTAGGTTCTATTTCATTAATATGGTAGTAAGATTAGTCGTCTAGAATCTTGGTTTTCATCTATTTTCATAAGCTAAAAGTTGGATTTTTCAGTTAATCTGTCAAACAAAGCCTAAATCAAATCAAATAATGGGGTCTACAACTTCATTCTCCTTTCCGAAATTATACAATTGAATTACTAAATAACAAACTGTCTAAATGATGAACGTAGAGTATGATAAGTGAAAAAAAAAAAAAACAAACACTAATTGCAAGATGTAGGTAAATGTTGCATGGACTTTTTGACTCATGAAGTCATGATCAACCAGTCTTACAACCAACATTGAAAAAGTAAATCCATCAGATCTTGAAGTTAACATGGAAGAAGTAAATCATAATATCCTCAATGTGCTATTTGCATGGGAGACCTCACTTATAGATTCTCACATGCTTACCGTTAAAGGAAAAAAATGTAAACCTCCGTCACAATTTCCCAAATCAAATAGAAAGCCGTTATGTAGCCTTAACCATATATACAACATAGAGATTAAAATGAAACACATATCTTTTGGTTATCATGAACACTTTCATAACACATTTGTTATAGGATTCTTGAAAGATTCTTAAGAACATCATTCATAGTAGGCCTATATTGAGGGTCATCTTGTATGCAACATTTAGCCAAAAGTGCTAAACACATTGCATCCCCTAAACCATACTCCCCTTCCAAATCTCCATCCATAAACATCTTAAATTTCTCCAAACACTCCGACGAACCACCACCACCCACCACAAATTCAACACCGTCTAGCCATTTTCTACCCATGGCCGCCCCTTTCCCGGATAAAAGCTCCACCAAAACAACCCCATAAGCGTACACATCCACCGTAGTCTCCCCGACTAACACTGATTTTGGCCAAATTCCTCCGCCTCCCTCCACCTCCGCAGTGTAAATTACGGGTGTTGCAAAGTCAAACCCCGAGATTTTCGCCCTATAATCCGTCGTTATCAACACGTTTCCGCTGCTTATATTCCGGTGAACATACATCGGCTTTGTGCAATAATGTATGTAATGCAAACCTTCTGCAAGATCGAATGCAATCTTCACTCGTTTCCCCCAAGTTAAATGTTTTCTCGTTTTCGATTCACGCAAACAATCCCGTAAACTTCCATTTTCGGTATATTCGAAGACTAAATAAGACTTGTCCATATCAAAACAATACCCTTCGATTTTGACCACATTAAAATGGTTGATTGTGGTCAAAATATTCACGACATGATTAGCGGATTTGATCGAATTCATATCCTTAATTGCCACAAAATAATTTTTGGTGATTCGACCTTTATACACCGATTTCCCAATGAATGAAGATTCCGAGAAGTTGTTTGTAGCGAGTTTAAGCTTATCGATACTAAAGCTCGTTAAAGAGTGTTTCAATTTCAACATGCCATCGAGTAAATCGGGCGAACAACGGTTAAACTCTGATCCCGGTATGGACACTGGCGGTGGTTCGCGGTGGTGAAGCTTCCATTTTATAAAAACTAGAAACAAAAGTACAACGAAAAGAAAAATTGTCGAAAATACAATGAGAAAGAGAATCGAAAACCTCGTTCCAATGCTACGATTCAAGATTTCAGTAGTAACCGGAACAATGTCCTGTGAACTTGGATCATTAACTACATGATCCAAGTTCAAGACAGGGACACCCGTTGTTGGGACCAACAATGTGGTGCCCCCGAAAAGGGTTTGTCGCGGGCCCATCTCATTTGCTTCCTGGATGGACCCTACTGTTACTCCAAACTTCGATGCAATCATATTAAGCGTATCATTTTCCATTACAGGATATGTAACAAGATACCTCGTATCATTTCTCTCGTTTGATGTGTTAACACACGCACACTTAACAGGTACTCTAACAAGTGGTGTCCCATGAAGGTTTCCGTTCTGTTGTGCTAAAACAAACGGCTTCACGAGCCCTTGGTAGACTCCACAAGCGATATCTGGAAACGAATATGAGTTAAAGTTAGTGTAATTGATGATGGATCGAGAGGACAAGTCGGGGCAATTGCAGATGATTGGGACTATGACTTCACGATCTTGGAAATGGGTTGTGGAGTTGAGCTGGGATTCGTTGACGTTGAAAAGGGTGGCAATGGCGGAAAGTATTTGGTTGGATTGAGGTCTGTAGATGATGAAGGTGTTGCAGGTTTTGGTGTCGGAGTTGCAGGAGTAAGTGGAGATGTTGAGGAGAGGGGTGGTGGTGTTGCATGGAGTATGGTCGTATTGTTGTTGAGAAATCATGGGTTTTGTGAGTGAAAATAAGAGAAGGGTTAAAAGGAAAGTGAAGGAGTCTGCCATTGATTGTTGGTTTGTGGAGAGTGACGAATGTGAAGAAGATGAAGTTTTAAGAAATCTAAATTGATTTAACAATGGGCCTGGGCCTGCACTGGCCGGCTTTCAAATTCACAAGTCACAACACCATAATCATAATTTGATTGAATATAATATATTTTGGTTAAGGTTCACGCTCTCTATTCTTTGACACGTAAGAAAATATAATACCAATTACGCATTACCAAAGTCTATGAATCCAATTATCCAAAACAAAAATAAATTAGATAAAAATGATTGGTATGGAATTATTTGGGTTGGGGTTGAGATTACTTTGGGTTGACTAGTGTATTAAAAAAATAAAATCCTAATTACGCACAAATTGTACCGAATAATTTTTTAATGTGGCAACCTTTGTTCTTTATTCGCCACCAACTTTCATAATTGATTTAATTTTGGACAGAATATTGTGGAATAATCTCATAAACTAGGCAATCTGACAATGAAAGTTTCTTATAGACTAACATGGTTTGGTTTGTACAAATATATTAGTTAGGGTATTTTTGGTAAGATGAAAGATTCTACAAGGATCAATCTTGGTGTGAAATGAAGTTTAGTTAGTTCAGGGTGTGTTACGTATGAGTTCTATTTTGTAAGGGCTGTTTGTAATATTTTGGATAGTTGTTATATCAGGTAGTAGAGGTGTAAACGAACCGAACGAACACGAACAAAGGATTGTTCATGTTCGTTCGTTTAAGTTAGCCGAACAAACGAACGAACACGAACGGATAAACAAACGGAGTTTTCTTGTTCATGTTCGTTCGTTTAACAAATTGTCTTGTTCATGTTCGTTCGTTTATGTTCATGAACATGCTAAACGGACATAAACGAACGAACATAAACAAACACAATTGAACATATATGAACATAAACGAACTATAATATAGTAATGTAATAAAAAAAACAATTGAAAATATATGAACATAAAAAAACTTAAACGAACGAACATAAACGAACGTAAACAAACAACATAAACGAACGTTCACGAACGTAAATGAACGAACGAAACAATTGTTCATGTTTGTTCGTTTAACTAAACGAACGAGAATTTGTGTTCATGTTCGTTCATTTATTAAATAAACGAACTTCCCGCCGAACGGTTCGTCGAACGTTCAGTTCGTGTACAGCCCTATCGGGTAGTGTTACTTCAGATCATAAGTGTGTGTGAGTTTAGAGAAAATATCTCTCTACACTTATCTATGTAACGTCCCAAAAATAAGACCCGAAAATTTTATTTTTGATTTAATAAAAACATTTATTCAAACGTTGTCATACAACCCCCTAAAGATCAAAGTATGTCACTACATCCAAAACATATCATAGTAATCTGAAAATGCGGAACAATATGATGTGTGCTCTGCAATCATCCCGAGCTCTTCCCTTTCGATCCGGAAGTACCTGAAACATAAACTGAAAACCGTAAACCCAAAGCTTAGTGAATTTCCCAAAATACCTCATATCATACATAATAAACACATATTGGGCCCTCACGCTTCATCGGGCCCCACTCGACACCGAGTCCCACTCGGCCTTGGGCCCCGCTCGGATTACAGACCTGTCATTAATTAGGCCCCGCCTGACATTGGGCCCCGCCCGGTACACATAGCAAACATATGTTAGAGTTGGGGTATAGATGTTGGATTAGTGTCTAAGTCCATAACTATTTTGGTATGTACTTGGCCCGATTGTGAGCATGGTCCTTT